AGTAGAGAGAGAGAGAGAGAGAGAGAGAGAGAGAGAGGGTGGGGAGATAAGTGATGCGTTGTGTGCTGCGCGCGATACTCTGCGCATATATTGGATCACGAATCGGGTCACGAACATGTTTATGCAAATATGTATCATACGGTTCCGTGAGAAATTGTCATAGTATTTGTAGCGAGATTCAAGGGATAAAGTATTCAATTTGCGATATATTGCCTCGGAGTGTGCGGAGTGCCGTGTGTGTGCCGCGCTGAAACTTTGCGGAGTGGGGATTTGAAAGGTTGATTGGGGGTGGGGGTGGGGGTGGTTGGTTGCTCGAGTGGTTTTATTTGGGATAGTTTACTCGTATGCATTTGTACAGTGTGGGGTATTGTAGGGGAGTGGTGTGCTGTGTTGAAGGTTCTGTGGGGAGCGCTATGTTTTCCGGTGCTTGGGGGATTTTTCACTTCTGTTCGCCTGGGTAGTGTTCGCTCTTCGGTTGAATACGGTAGGCACGGAATCTCTATGTGGACGGAACAGCGCCTTCACCCCCTCCAAGATCCAAAACCTACCATTCCGTTCTTCTCCTCCCCCCTCCCATCATGTCCTGGGAAAACACCTGTTGGCAAATCCATAGATTACTCTAGAAAACATGATATCATGAACTGCCCCATTCACCCCATTCACTGATCGAAACACAACGAAGCATGAGAAATCGTGAAAGACATGTAAGAAAAGCGCAAAAGAGAAGAAGAAACAAGGAACATCTCGTAATCTGATGCCCTCTTGAACCTTTAACTACCACCCTACCATTGCAATTCGTGAATCCCGTAGCTAAACAGTTGTACTTCCTGCTGCCTTGCTGTTTTGCCCGCCCGTAGGCCATAGCCCGCTTGTCCTGTATTTTCGCAGGCAACCATAATGGCGGTTCGATCATGGCGGTTCGATCATGGCTGGCCAATTGATTTGAGCTTGAGTAAGATGAGGTAAAAAGTGATGGAAAAAAAAAAAGGTCAAGTTCACATGAGATATTCCTTCGCATATTGAGCAGTGTACCTGCAAATAATAACTTCCTTCCATTCCCGCATGACAAATTCGTTATAGCCGTAGAGACAAAAAAGCGAAAAGGTATTCAAAAGGGGGACAAAAGAGAAGAAAGGGAAAATTATATAAACGGCCCTCCGCCCGCCATGGTCGTGATGTCACAGTGCTCCCCGATAACGCCAAAATCCCTCTCCTCCCTGTGCTCGCTGATAGGCCCTTCAATGTCGTAGCTTTCCATGAGCACGTACTCTCGACTATTCACCGCGAATCCAGATTTGGGCTCCCATGTTGACTCTAAGGTGGAACGTCCCAACCATTTTATTTGGTAGATTTCTGTCTGCTGGTGATCTGGCGGCGCGGGTGGGGCAACCGATGGCGGTGAGAGCGATGGCGCTGGGGCAGCGGGGGGGACTGGGGGCAAGGAGGAAGTGGCGGTGGGTACGGGAGGGGATGGGTGAATAGCTTTCCCAAGTATCTTCTCCATGATCCATTCTTTCTCGCCGACGAGTATTTCGTCTTCTTGGGGGGCCTCGGGCTCTACCGTTAGATCTGTGAGTTCTGGAGTTGGCGGCGGAGGGGGTGGATCGGTGGGGGAGTATGCTGAGAGTATGTGCGCGTCCGCCCCGTAGTCTTCCTCGATGCGTGCTCTCGTCGCCCATTTCTTGTCCGGAACGTCTTCGAATGTGACGAGGTAGAGGCTTATGTCTTTCGCTGGATCGATTGACCTATGGTTAACGATTTCCTTAACTTTGTGGTCAAACTTAGTATGCCTTGTTTCGCATTTAGTTGTCTTCTTTGGCCAGCAATCTGTACAGTAAAAGTTGTCCCGGCAGACTTTACAATCGCAAGCGCACTTTTCCAATGCTGCCTCCTCGACTTCTGATTCCGTGCCGTCGTCCGATGCTGGGGGTGCATGGAGGGAGTCGAGTCTGCAATCGGCGCAGACGTCGTTTCCGCAGGTTAGACAGGATTTTATTCCTACTTTCCCCTCCGTTGGATCGCCACAGCCGATAGGAGCTGATGGTGCGTCAGAAGATGAGCAGAACACCTTTTCACAACCGCCGCGGCACTTCCGAGACCCTGGCAGCTCGTGCTTGATGCAGATCTGTTTGCCACAACAATCGCAGCGGGCCCAAGGAATGGAGGTCATGCAGCTTCCGCAGAGGATATCGGCGGAATTGGGAGCAGCAGTGTGGCAGCAGGGCTGCAGAAAATGAACGACGGGATTAGTTTCTGCAGCGCTGGGGGCAGTGGATTGATAGAAAGTAGGTGCGAGAGGAGTGTTAGTCGGGGCGCCGGGAGCCGGAAGATCCAACTGGATCAACGTAGCAAGAACGACTTGAAATTGGGATCCATTTCCATTTGTATTCATACCCATCTGGGGAGCCATAGCAGCCATCGCCGATATTCCCGCATTTGTGGGATTTGGCCACGGACCCTCAGGGGCCATAAGTGGAGGCAGAACACCAGGGGCTCCGTTAGGAATAGTTTCGGTAGGGGTAATAGGTCCGGCAGGTCTGGCATAGGCACAACTGTGGCAAATAGCCTTCTTGCAGGTCGAACAGGTCATCTGGTAAACGCACGCCTCACAGCGGTCCAATATCTGAGCCTCGCAGTTGTCACAAGTAAAAAGCCCCTCCTTCTCCTCCCACTTTCGGCGCTGTTGAAGCTCATATGGAGACAACAGCGCGAGTGTCGGGTTCCCCTGGCTCGCCTCCGGGTCCTGAACCCGCCACCTCTTATCGAAGGGAACGCAGTACTTCTCCTTTCCCCTTCGTAGGATTTCCCTCCGCCGCGGGCATCTCAGCTTAGGCGTCGGGCATAATCCCAAGTCGGTCCATATTCCTAGCTTCTCGGCGAGTGTAGTAAGGTATCTGCTCGGTTCGTCGCCATCGGCAGGCTTCCTGTCAATCAGGAATGGTTTTCTGCGTACTCCTCGCGCCTTGTAGACGTACAGACTCTTGAGTGCCCGCTTCGGGGGGACTGGTGTTGAAACCGAATGAGGCTCGACAATGTCTTGGTACACGAGGTAAGGGACGATATGATGCTTTATCGAGACCTTCCGACAACCACGCACAGAGAGATGCTCTAGGGTGCCAGCGCATCTGCTCATCAGCGGTCCGAAGAGGAATAGACCTGTTACTGCCGTCCAATCCAAGGTAAGTGAGGTGATTCTCTTCTCTAGAGGCAACGAGGAGAGAAACTTGTCGAGGTTGTAGATAGTCCCCAGATGGTAGGTGTCGAAGCCGGGAGCTTCATACGCGCTCAGCCTGAAATCGAAGTGAGAGTAAAGCGGAGGGTATACGAGCAGTAGACGGCGGAGGTATGTTGACGTTTGGGCGAGTTTCAACTTGCTCGGGGTCGGGAGGTGCTTCACGAGGCATTCGAGAATTGGTGTGTAAACCGCGAGCATCACCTCCAGCGGAGAGAGCTGATCGTGTATGGGTAGCTTCTGCCCCATTTCTTCCTCAGAGGTACTTGGTCTCATTTCCGGCACCGACATTATGGTAGTGAAGTTTTTGGCGTACTGTGCTATTGATGGATGGGTTGTTAGTCCTCTGACTCTCTCTCTCTGACGAAGGGCGGAGAGAAACTTTTTTTTTTTTCCCTTCTCTCTCTCGATTCAGCAGGAGGGGAGCCAGATAGGTGGATGGATGGTGGAGAAGATGAAAAAAAGGCCGGAAGCGAGAAATCCGCGCCTCGCGGTTCAGAGAAAATAAGGATAAGGCGGAAAATTGAGGTTGAGAGGATAAGGGTTCAAGCTCTGTGCACAGAAGGGGGGGGGAGAGATATGTTCAGGAGTGAGGAGCCGGAGGAGAAATTGTTATGAGGTGATGTTGGCCGGGTAGAGTAACTTACAGCACTGCAGGAGGTTCGGCTGCGGTATGCTACGGTACTGGTACGGGTACAGTACATGTAGTCTACGGTATGCTGCCATTGATCTTCTATACTCGAGTACACAAATAATACTCGGGCTGTAGACAGAACCAAACCCCGGGCAGAGGAGGATCCTTCTTTTAACTCAATACGTCTACTGTAAGTTATGTTTCGAGATAGGATTTCCCTCCAAGTTAATATTAAGCAATTCTCAACCCCGTCCGTCAAGTGATCAATCTACGGTAGCTCCTGCTATACCAGCAGGTATCATGCTTGTACCATGAAATACCTTCTTCCGGTCAAGCAGCTGGATGCTTGTCCGGCACGAGTATAGGGCTCTGGCACTAGCATATTCTCATTCGATCCGCTGCCAACAGGACCGCATAGATACCAACTGCCAACTCCTGCATTGGAGGGATCTGTAACTTCATTCCACTTCTCCCCTCCCCGAACGTTACTCGGCTTGATCCTGCTGTTTCTCTGGAAACTTCTTGTTAACTTCGTGGTAGGGTGTTGTAGGTATCTGATGCGAGCGTGTCATAATCTTACAGCTACGGTTCTCTATCTCGAGCATTCCAACATCGCCAATCTCTGGTTCGGACAATATTCCTCCAATCTCACCGCCGGTCGAAGCTGGGATCCTCTCTGGCCGGATTTTTTCTCTCTCTTTTCTTTTTCTCCCCGGACCCGGGGAAATAATGCGTTTCTGCTTACGGACACGGCACACTAATTCCCGCATGTTCGCACTTCGCTTACTGTAAAGTAACCAGAACACGCCAAGGGAACGCCAGGAATGCTTTTTGCCGCCAAAGGGTTCTCATCAGATATCACTCGTGTGACATCACTGACATGGCACTTAGTAGGCGTTTAAGCTTTGGAGTAGCGGTTGAAGTCGCGTGGTATCATCGATTAAGATTCCCTACCAGTACCTGTTAATCTCGGGGATTACGTGGTTAGTTTGGGAAAGTCAAAGGGCTCATTTGCCTCCAGGATTTGGGATGTTTTCTGCAAAATTTCATGGGATTGACGAGGCGCTGATAATAATAATAATGATAATGGTAATATTCAAGACTCACCCAAGCCGTATTGATATCAATTGCCTAGAGCAGTAATCTATTCCACTACCCCTGCCGCCACAGTCTTCCCACCTAGCCTTAGGACAACTCTATTCCCTTTTTCCACAGGAATCCCCGCGCTCAAAGTAACCTCCACCTTTACCCTTGCAAACATGCCCGGGCCGATATGTCTGGGCTTCTTCTTGAGCGTCTTACCGGTGGCTTTATCCATGCTCTCCAGTAAAGAAATTACTCTTCCGCTTGCATTCAATCGCCCGCGATGGATGCCCACTAACATTGGTGTTATGGTCTCGAATGAAAGAATTTTGAGGTTAAAGCAGTTGAGTGGAACGATCGGCGAATCGGGAGAGCACATCACGTCTCCGGGTTTTAGGTGAATAATGTTTATGCCTGAGAGATGGAGGGTAACGTTGTGTCCTGCTACTGCCCATTCTGAACCCTGCTCGTTTATCTCTATTCCCTTGACCGTTGCTGATTCTTTTGATGGCAGTGTGAGAAGCGCATCCCCGATCTGGAGGCTTCCGGCTTCAATTCGGCCTGATATGCTGACGGGGTTTTGTATTCCTCCGCGAAAAACATCGTTTATAGTAATCCGAAGAGGAGAATTGATGGCCCGCGATCGTGGTTTTGAGGACTCGAGTGTCTGGATGAGTGTCGGCCCGTGATACCAGGGCAACTTATCGCGTGCGCCATGAAAAATATTCGCTCCTGTCAGTCCACTGCAAGGAACGAAGCTAGTCGAGTTTGAACTAAACCCAGCATTGGACAAGAAGTGGCCCATCTGCTGCGATATCTCAGTATACCGATCATGGTTCCAGTTGACCGCATCAAGCTTGTTAACTGCCACCACTATTCTGCTGACACCTATTGCACGGGCAAGGATGGTGTGTTCCCTCGTCTGCCCATTGTTTTGAAAGCCAGACTCAAAAGCACCCGTTGAGGCGTCGAGAACCAATACGGCGAAGTCGGCTTGAGAGGCACCTGCGATCATGTTGGGTACAAAGTCACGGTGGCCAGGTGCATCAAGAATGGTAAAGTTTGTAGAGGCAGTAGAAAAGTGATTTGTTGCAATGTCCATTGTTACACCTCTGGGTTCGGTTATTATCAGCTAAATAAGATACTAAGGGGACCATACCTCGAGCGTTCTTCATTTGTCTGATCTAGCACCCAGGCAAAATGGAAGGAGGATTTTCCAATCTTTTCTGCTTCCGCCTTGAATTTCTGAATTGTGCGTTCATCTACTACACCGCATTCGTAGAGGAGTCTTCCCATTAGGGTACTTTTCCCAGCATCCACATGGCCTAAAAGGTTAGCCATTAATTGGCAGGCAGGATGTGGAGGTAAGAGCACCTATCACGACAAAGTTTGCATTCTCTTTTGTCTTAGTGTTCCTGAATTCATCTAAAACATCAATCTCCCTTCTGGCCTTAATAGGCGTATTGTCGATAGCCATCGCCTGAACAGCCGCCTCTATCTTCTCGACAGGCTTATCTATCTTCTTTTTGGCGTTGGTCAACCCTGCGCTCATTAGAGCTCTGTACTTAACTGGCAGGGTTTATTTGCAAGGTGAACCTTTACTACCACTCTGGGCCGCTATAACTATATCATCGGGGCTAGGCTCAGAAAAAGCTTTGGCTTGTGCCGCCGTTGGGGCACCTGAAATAGTGAATGTCCCATGGTTAGTAGTGTTCATCTTAATGGTTGAAATCCTCTCCCCGAAAAACGATACCGCAAAACTGGACGGGGAACCAAGAAGGCTTGTGAATTGGGGCATATAAATAGATTTGTCATTGAGAATTGGGAAAAATATCTGGGGCTCCTCCGGATGGCCAAGGCCTTGGCTAGAGGCTGCGGCAGTTTTTGGCTCTACTTCCGGCTGTGGCTCTGGGATGATAACTTGTTTGGTCTTTTGCTTTGTATCTTGTTTATCCTCTTGCGTTGTTGGGGGAAGCAGAGGTTTGGAGATAGACGTAGGTGCTTGGGCCGGTGTCTTTGATGCCAGTCGTGCTAACAAGGACACTGATGCTTTCTCTTCTCCATCTTGCATCTTTTCTGCAGCAGCTTTCTCTTTTCTCGCTTTAGCTAATGCCGCCAGTTTGGACCCTTTGCCTGATCCGCCCGGGAGCCCTCCCTGGGGACAAATACTCTCAACAACTATCTTTCCTCGCCGGTGTTCGGGTATGTTTCCCCACGGGCAATCCCGAAAGAAGCCAAGCTCCGTCGCCGTCCTTGTTTCGAAGCCATGACCTTGACCAATCCCTGAGAAGTAGCCTAGGAGATTAGTTTTGGGCAATGCACAAATGTGCTCATGTGCCATATATGAAGAGGACGAGGATGAAACGCCTGAAGTACCTTTTGGAACTTTCTGTGTAAATTGTGACTGGGGCTTCTTTTTTGGTTTTTTGGCTGGCGCATGATGGCCTGGTGGTTATCAGTGTTGTCCAATGGACACGAAAGAGGGCTGAACGTACTTAAAACGTAGTTCACAGTCTTACCGACGTCGAAGTAGTAGTGCCATAGGGATTCCTTGATCTCTTTATCTGTAACGGAAACTCCGGTGCCTTCTAGGGCCCCCCGAACTTGGACCAGGCCCTCCTCCAATTGTCCTGATCATTTAGCAATTGGTTCGCTCCAATGTGCAGGAAGGTGCCTTTACTTTCATCAGATTCGCTAACATCTATGAACTGTCAGTAGGTAATAATAGCTGATGAGAGTATTTCGAAATGTCGCACCATTAAACTCCCCTCCATCGAAGTCATCGAGTTCTTCTCTTCATAGTGAGCTTATTTTCTGAAGTTTGCAAGTGGTCTTGGCGTGATTCATACCTGCGTATGGGTCAAGGTTTCGGATATTCTTATGCCGCGACATTGTTGGGGGGAAGATATTATTATATGTTGTTTGTTTGTTGCCAATGAGCGGGTCTTTGGCGGGGTGTTTGAGGGGGGAAGAGGGAGGTTAAATCGAGGAAGGGGTGTCCTTGGGTCCCCTCGTCGCCTGCTTATGTCATGACTATCAGTTATCGATAAAGGCCTAACTTATTGGATCAAGTTTTGACCGGGTAACTCTGCAGCAGGGGAACCGCGGTTTTGCGAGGCGTAGGGTAACTTAAAGCATACGAGGATATCGCCTCGCCGAGCTCTCGCGTGGTCTACAGTAAGTTGTATCATACGTACTTTTACATAAGGTTAGTAAGGTCACAAGGTGTCCGGTTTTGATACAGTAAACTGCTAGCGGGTTTCAAAAGTTTCTGGATGCTTTGACATCTTTTTCGCCTGTCTTGGCGCTAAGGCATCTGTAGATTTTTGAAAACAGCTAGCAAACTGGCTCGCCTTATATAGCCCTTGCGTTTTACCTCACTACCGCTAATTTGTATTTGGTTTCTCGTTGGCAGACCTTCTGCCCTATTGGTTGCCCAAGAGAATATCATAAATTTTGAGCCGAGGAGTTATCCGGTCACTGACACCAAAAGCCTACCAGACCCAGCTCTTCTGCTGATTAACTACGAGTACTGTACAGTACGAGTACAGTGTCATATCGTCCAGTCTGTCAGAGCGTCCAAGAAATCAGTAGAATAGGTCATGGTTTGAAACTCCGGTAATTTATCTCCGGCTGAGAAACGACACTTTCCATGTCTCGTTGGTTTCTTAACCGGATCTCTTGAGCGTATCACACCACGGGCCAAAGGGTAATAACAATGACGGAGTGGGACTCCATGATTTGAGAGTCAAAGTGATCCTAAAAAAAAAACTCCCAAACCTGAATAAAGGAATGGTGCCTACCTATTTATGAGGCTGGATGAGGGAATGAAAAAGCGTCCTAGATTGTTGTATGCTTATAATGCTACCACTATGGGGGGTTAGCCGCACAGATGGTATTTGATTCTTCTTCTTGAACTCCGGTAGTTTATGCGCTGTTATCCTTTGATTTTCTCGACACTTGACAGCCACCATAAGCAGCGGATGTCTTGAACTCTTGTGCTATACTGTGAAATACTACCCAGCGGAAAAGAACTACACGTAGGGCAAAGTGTGTATATATATATATTCAAAGTGGGCGGTACTCCCTCATAGCGATACAATAGAATCCCTTTCGGGAATCTCTGCCATTTTGACTTCATCGGCGATTTCAAGCTGTTCACTATGACCTAACATCCCGACCCAATATTGCCTTGGCCAAGGTTGAGTGTATTTCCAATTGGACACAATTTTATTGTCAAACAGGAATGCCAGTGACAGTACTGGGCTGTGCCTTGGTGTGGTTCCAGCGCTTGCAATGTCACCAATATCTTACCCACCATATAAGCATCCGCTTCCTCTCCCGGTCTTCGTAGCGCCCTATCCCTCCAATTTAAACTGCCCTATTACATGTTCCTCCCCAGCTAGTTTTCTAGATCACCAAATAATTTATCACCACGATCCTTAGTAGGTTCGTCAACGTGTTCAATAGGGATTATTACAATGTTCCAAATAGCTACAATACAACCCACAACATTCATAATTTCTTTGAGAATAATTCATGGCTTCTTCTATGGTTCTCCCACTTGGGGCCATGGCCTGGACATCACGGTGTAGCCTGTGGTCGGATTGGAGGCATAGGAGTGTGGATATTGGGAACGCAGGAATGTCGGACACAGCAGCTAGGATGGAATAGCGGATTAGTTGGCCCAGCCCTATTCTGTTTGGGAGTTTGAGGAGTGGGAAAACATTTCAGGTAGGGTTCGCGATACCTTATGCAACGGACCCATCACATACTAGTTTTGATTTTAGCTCTCTTGTTATTGATAGCTTGTGCGATGATGCTCCAGGACCTGGCACGGGAGAAGCCCCCCCTCTGTTCTGTGATTATCGCAGCCAAAACGAGCACAGTATGGTGGCGGGAATGATGGGGGCCATACTCAAGCGATTTGTCTGCGCCTTGCCAGATGTGCCATAGGACGTAGAGGATGCATTCCAGGTAGCTAAGGACGAACCCCTCAACTCCAGTTACTTCTCGAAGCTCTTGCATCTTTTCACCGTGTCTTTACCCGAATCGATCCGCTGGATGAGTATCCGCTCGGTCATAGAGACGAATGCCTCATATCTCTTACTACAGAATCGGCTAAATACACGATTACTCCTGGCAGGCAAGCCGCCCATCTAAGGAGAAATTGGTAAGCAGCTTGCGAGGTCTTCAGCTGTCTTCATTTTAAACCTACTAAGGACGATATCCGGACATATTTGACAAAAAAACTTGATACCACCAGGACCCCGAGGATGGCCGGTGGGTTGAGGTTGGAGATAATGAGTTGTATTCCAGAACACTTTCTCTGATGTGGGTTTGGTACTACACTGTCGGCCTACGAAGATTTTGCTTACTTGGAATGGTTCACAATTAAGCTTTCTTCTGGTGTATTGTATACCAACTCAGCTTCGGGGGAGCCTGCCTTCGCCGCGAGGAAGAAAAGGCTCTGTTAGAGAGCATATGATCCGAACGAGGAATACCGTCTCACGTTAGAGTGGGTTAAGCAGCAGTGGGGAGGCAAAGCAAGACTAGCAATGGGCCTCTTGCTGTGAAGCTCCTGCAAAGTCAATCCGCAACCAAGAGATAGAGATGGCCGGCATCCACTCTCTTGGGCGGTGCAAGGACATGAAGGGGTGGCCGCCATGCTATTGTCCCGCTGTGATGTCGACCCATACTCGAGGGGCATGCTTGGACAAATGTCACCTTCATGGTCCTACGAGTTTGAAAACAACGAGATGGTGACACTCTTAGGTGTCTGTGATAATGACGGGCCGGGGTGCGACAAGTAACCACCACCCAACTTCCCCAATCATAACCGCTTGACATAACTCCCCCGTGACTCCAGCTAGCTCTCTCAACCTCTTATCATGCAACTTGCCGCTGTGGTATTGAATTGGGCCAGTCAGAGTGCCAGTGTGAGTAGTGTAGTGGGGCTGCCGCAGTATATACTCCCTCACTTCCCTTCTTTCTTTTGGTGGGTGGGCATTTCGCTGCTGCAGGAGGGCTTGTACGGAGATTCCTCCTTTCGTGGATAGCTTCGTTTCATGCGATATCACTCGAAGACTTTTTCTGACTGTTGGAGAAATCTAATATATTGTTATGGAGTGGACGTGGGTGTCGAAGATAATTGCCCTTTTACCCCCTACTATAGTGAACGTGCAGAATTTCGTTACATCCGACAAATACCAAGCAGCAGTGCGCCAATCAAACTAATGCTTCAAGGGGATAACATGGTAGGTGGGACATCAAACGGAGGGAGACCATAAAAAATTTCTGTGGTAAGCATCAAATTTGCTACGGTTGTTTCGCTGTACCACCACCATTTACTATTTTCCCTACTGCCACATATTATTGGCTAGTAAAGTGTGCTAACCCGGAGGCCTAAGAGAAAGGCTGCAGGAAGTCCCCTCATTTCCCCTCGCTCATGAGGCCTCTGCGATTGCTAGCCATATCCATGGCAACCTATGTACTTCTGAGTGTCTCAAAACACACCGTCCGTCGGGAGGTAGTTCGACTACCCGGAAGGGTGTCATCACCACTGCTGCCAAGTGTCGTTTGTCCAAAAAAACTTGGGATTCCCGGAAACTCTCGCCACTTTAGGGAAACCCCGAAGCTGAATTGTGCCCATATCTATCCAAGGAATAAGAGTAAAGCTACGCGACCCTGATTACTACTGGTGCTCTCGCCGGGCTTGTTGTCTCCTTGTTGGCCCCCTGTCTGGCATCCGCTAACAGCACACATCACAATATGGCGCATCTATGATGCAGGCGGCCAGCTCGGAGAAAGCTTACTGCACTCCCTCGCAACTCTAGATATTCTCTCTTCTCCCCCCCCTTTTTTTTTTACCATTTACTCTTTTGAAAAAAACACCTTGGGATCCTGACTTTTACATTCTACTCTAAAAATTTACTCCAGCACCCATTATTGTCTTTCACTCATAACTCTTTACAGTGTCTTTATTGGCCTGGAGAACCGTGCGTAGAACCTGGACGGGTAAATCCACCTACATACTGGTCGCGTCACGAAAGTGGTCGGGGCAATTGGTCGCGTCGTGCGATTGTACTCATAGGCTATCTACATGCCCCACAGTACTGTGCTTGTGCGCCGTTATTTGAACCTGCCCCGCTGTAGACGGTGTAGAGCGAGTGATCAGACGTGAACATCTTGTGGCAGTGCTACCGGAGGATCCCTATACGCGTTTTAAGATACTCGAGCACATGCGCGGGGATCGTTGGTGAATTTTGCCGGAAAGGGTTCCGCAAGGGAGTGAAAGAACAGTGCATGATCACAATATCGAGAGCATTACACTAAGCTTCGATAACTAAATTGAATAATAGCATTGTCCAACCTGGCCCCGTAGTGTAGCCATTTAAGGAAAACCAAGCTACGGTGTACGAGTACGATAGCAGGATTTGGAGTTTGGAGTTTTCTCACTGGTCAACACCAGGGCGCAATTTGCATTACAAAAAATGTACGAAAAACGATCAGTACTAAAAGAAACAAAAGCAGTCAAATACTATGGACAAGATACTAGGAGCTCGGCCTGCTATCATGGCGAAAAAGATGTACATTGTAGAGCATACGGCTTGGCAAAAGGAAATCATCTTCTCCATAGTTCGTTATTGTCACCTCTGGCCCGTTTGGGGCCTCCACCACGACCACCTCGATAACCTCCCCCACCACCTCGGCCACGGTCATCACGACGATCGCTGTAGTGACCATTGTACCTATTTTCCCCACCACTGCTGCCACTGCTAGGACGGTATCTATCGTCCCGAGACGACTGATTGTTGGCGTAGCCACCTCCGTGGTATGAGCCATGAGGCTGCCCGCGCCCAATATTAGAAGCATGTGGGAATCCGGGGGGAGGGGGAGGGGGAGGATATCGACTGCCTTGTTGGTGGTATGGGGCTGGAGGTATGTATGACGGTTGTGGATTTACGTGATTTCCCTGAGCCTGATTGTGCTGCCCGCCCCATCCGCCCCACCCGCCCCAACCTGAAAGGGCTGGCGGGGGTGGGGGAGGCTGCCAGGTCCCGTTTCCGTAAGAAGGTGTGTGGCTCTGTCCCGGGTAAATTGGAGAAGGGCCTCGGTTGGATTGGTAGGAGCCCTGGAAGTCTCCCCCACCGCCACGACCGCGTCCTCTCCCGCTATTACTACGATAAAGCGGAGCGCCACCGTACGAGCGGCCCGAGTTCTGAGCCTTGTTTTTGATCATTTCTAGGTCCGAATGAGAGAGCACGGGAGGGTTGAGCTTGACCCCACGAAGTAACATCGACCTGTGTGCATTCTTGGTTTTAGGAAATTCGTAAAAGACGCAGAGTGATTTGTCACCCTCTATTTCAGGCATAGCATCCTTAGATAGTGGAGAAGGTATCGTGCCCTGAGGAATGAAAGCAGGATCTTTGATAACCTTTCCGGACAACCCTTGGCTCTTGCCAGGGTCAAGGTCGTATTCCTATCCTAGTTAGCAATTACTTCGAGATGCCATGTAGGAAAAACGTACGTCGTCGTTCCGGCCCTTATAGTAAAACCGTAGGGCAACGTCATCATACATGTCATTATTCACTGAACAGAATAGAATGTCATGTCCCGTTGCATTCCTCGCATTATCCTCGGGAGTTAGCGTAGGGTACACCTTTGACACAGCTTCTAACAAGCGCTTCTCATCGATAAATGGCAACAGGGCTACACCTTGCCAGGCAAATTTCTTGCCATTCAAGTCAATAGGGAAAGACTCGGGATAGAAGTCAATAATCTCAGAATCCTCCTCGGTCATAAGTTTTTGGAATGGCTCTGGAAGAGCGTGCTTACTGGCAGCAGGTAGCACGCCCATAAGCTGCTCAAAAGGCTTGAATGGCTTGCCTTTCTCAAATTTGATATCGAGCTTTCCCACATCTTTGAAATCCTGAGCAAACGGTGCATAGTGATACGGATAATACCAGGTCCAGCTAGGACACCCTTGGAAGTAATAAAGTAATACCCAACATAGACCTTCAACGTAGCTCGCAGCAACCTTATTTCGGAATTCAAGGTCCTCTGGTGAAACATGAAACTTTTGTTCGTAATACCGTTCACGATATCCGGACTCCCAAAGACGAACCGGATCACGATCAGGGTCATCGGCCTCAGGTTCGGAGCCGGGGGTCTCGGGAGTTTCGTCCCCCTCAATCATATCAGCCCTTCTCTTGAGGGATATGGCAGAGGCTGGTGTGGAGGGTGTCTCCGGGGTAGGGGTTATATCCATCTCAGTGCCGTCACCCACAGCGGCGCCGAGTGAACCATTCAATAATTGAGCCTTTAACACCTGGGCTGCACTCTTGTTTTGAAGATTAGCCTTTCGAATGCCTTCCCTATTCATCACCATGTCGTAATTCATCTTCTTCGTATCCTTTGAAACATCTCCAGGCCTGAATAGTGGGATCATGGGGGGAGGGGCAGAATTGGGAACGCCCCTTCCTCTTCCTCTTCCAGTGGGGGCAACGGAAGGCGAATCAAAGCCTCTGCCAGCGAAATTGTCGCCGCGGCTCCCGCCAGCGGCTCTAGCCTCCTCCTCCAATTTCCTCCTCTTGTTGCCCTGCTCCCTTCTATCATCGACCCTCTTCCGATTCCTGAAGATCTGATCTTCCTGCTTTGCCAACCCATCAAGGATGTACTGAACCCTTCCCAGATCTACAGTTCCGTCTTTGGTGACGTAACCTCCCATAAGAGGCATATTGTCTCTCCAAACAGCAATCAAAGTGTCGATTCCGTTCTCCCTGATTTCCAAACTTGGTAAATGGGGTAAAAAGTCGTTCCCGACGAAAAAGCACATAAAAATCCAATCATCAAGAGCTCTCTCCAACTCAAACTTGAATGGCTGACCCGAAACCTGAAGTTCTACCGCCAAGTATTCACGAAGTATTGAGACATGTAACCAGACAAAGGGCTTCAGTGAGGAAGCATTATCCTTTTCACCAAACTCGCCCTGTTTCTCCTTGGCCTTGCCCGTGCATTCCTCGGCACGGTGACCTTTCTGCCCACATATCTTGCATGTCTTTGCCCTAGCTTCCCTCGCAAAGACGTCCTCACGGAGGACTCTGAAATGCGGTTCGTGAGTTCCAAGCCCCAGCATGATCAGATCGGCATCAAGGCCGTATATGACGTGACGAGTATTTGGGTTATATTCGGGGGAGAGACGCTGAGACCTGATGAACTCCATAATCTTGTGCTCCCCCTCTCCAGGAACGGTGGAATCCGAGATGACAATTTTTAACTGGAAAGGTGTTAGCATGCAATGGATTCCCGCAATAAGGTGGTCCAGGTAACCCACTTTAGCCCAAGCAGGGTCATCGTTGAGCTTTTTCGCGATCCAGTACTTGAGCGATGCTGCAAGGATGTCCATAAAAGGAGTGCCGGGGGTAATGGCATTACTATCCCAAATCTTTTTATTCTTGAGATCATCGCCAAATTTGCTCCCTTGCCGCTTCTCCATCTGCTCAATCAATTGAGCGGTCTCATCCTCTTTTTCCTTAGCTTCCTGCGCCGATCTGAAGCGGCGAGAGCGTTGCTGATTCATTTTCGCACGAGGCGCAACACCATCTACAGAATATCAGTATTCGCGATAAAACGGTCCGGCTGAGGCGGCAGGTGGAAGAGGAAGCAAGGTCGCAAAGCTCACTGCTTCCATGTAGGCGATCAGCGAAAACATACCAACAGCAATCATGAGAAGCTTTCTAGGCCTCACCATGTTCACAACACGTTCAGTGTAGGCAAATACAGCCAGCATCATCGCCTCTTCTGTTTCCGGTGCCTCGCCCTCCTCGGGATGGGAGCACGGATGAACGATACCGTTCATGTCGAGGTAGAGATTGTCCGCCTTCAACGTGCGAAGATGGACAAGGTGAACGTCAGCAAACATATTCAACGAACCAACCGATAACAATATCCTCACCTCGCCATTCGGATTCGGCCGAGTGGTGTCCACGGCTCTGACAACCCCGTCGATCTCCTGCGGTTGCTCCTCAATAACAGGGCTAACAATTTTAGGATACTTGTTTGTAAGCCATCTAAACAGGGCCGGAACACCCATGATTGCTGATGAGCTATGCGAGGCGAATACGCCGAGAATAAAAAAATGAAGGGAAGGATGATGAGGGAGGCGATGCTATGTGAGAGGCGGCTCTCCAAGTCAAAGGCCGGGGGACTGGGGGCTTGTGCGAAGGGACTCGACTCTGTGGGGGTGAGGCGAATGCAGTTCCGGACCAGATACCCAGGATTCGAAACTGGATGGGAAATCGCAGAGTCTCTATTGCAACCGACCGAGGTCGGGGACGCGGTGTAGGGTTAGTCGCCTTCGTGGAGAGAAGCGTGGTCTTAATTCTGCTCTGGAAGAATCAAGGCGATGAAAGGGGAGGAAGGGAGCAGGAAAGAGGTGTGTGTGTGTAGAACCAGGGAAGCGGAGAGTTTGGGGCGAAGGTGCAGCCGCTCCAGCATGAATTTAAGTACGATAAACGGGCAAAGAAATTCGGATGGAAGTCTTGGCGTGTGTTACGGGAATGGGATCGAAGCCCCGCCCCAAAAAGCCCCAAAAAGTCTTCAACCTTCCTACTTGTAGTTTCATAAGTCTGATACGCTAGATGAAGTCCACGCTGAGGATAGGAGTCCAAGTGCGAACCTGTATAACTCGATTCATAATCCAACGTGAACTTGAAAGTGTGACCAAAGCAGTTGGTTGGCTATTGCTGACCGCAAGACATTCAGCAGAGTTCAAGTGCAGAGTTTTTCACACTGGACTGGACGACAGAACCGGCTTTTCATGATGAACACACCAAGCTAGTCCTTTCCCAGCGCACAGCAACGTTCGAGTTCACGTTCACGGCTTATCGGACTCACGTGACGAATATATCTATCGGCCGCACTCGTACTCGTGCCTCCGAGCCAAGAATTGGCACCTCTTTTGGGATAGTTCCCCTCGGAGCCATAGAAAGTTTAGCGTTTGAGCCATCTCAAGACCCTATTGCCGGTGACACAAAATACAGTGCTGCATAATGAGTGGGAGTGGCCACTGGTACGGCAGTCGCAGAGTGCAATCCCTCACGCTATGGTTCAAGCTGGCCAAAATGTGCACTAGAATTTCGGTCGTTTTCAAACTCTATAGGCTCAGCAACCACTAGACTAATTGAAATAGAAAAACCTAGCTATGGAAGGGAGGATGAAGGAGAACAATAGTTAGGTTTTTGATTTATCACTGTGCTGTCCAACAACTTGTCTATAGAGTTTGAAAATTGGGTTTTTGGTGTAAAACACAAAAAAAAAAAGCCTGGGTGTTATGATACATCAGCATTACTCTTCAAGTCTGTAGAGCATATGAATTATACTTGCTGGTTAGGGTTTGAAGGATTTCAACACTATTTTCTACTAATAGTATTGGAAAACCTGAATCATATAAGTTATGATACAGGTTTCAAGTTTGTAACAAGTATAAATATGTGTTAGCCTTATGGATTAGAATTAATTAATGTAATATAACTTATTTTTAATACTAGTATACCGGTACCTAATATACCAGTAACTTGAATACCGTGATATTTTTACCTATCTCTTATCTAATTCAAGTTATTGTATTATGTTCCTCTTTCAACCGGTAAACCAGTTAATATACAGGATAAAACCCTTGTTATCAAACCCTAGTCCTAGAGCTTGGCTTTTTTTTTCTTCAGCCTGGTGCACGTTTTGGCCAGCTTGAACCATACAAGAGTAGCCTCGGGACTACTCGTACATTCTCTACGGCCCCATGGAGGCTATTCCAAAAGGGGTGCCAATTCTTGGCGCGGAGGCACGAGTTATGATGCAAAGTGACACAAACCGGGTCCTCCAAGCAGGCCAAATGCGATCTTGAACTAGTCAATCATAAGAGTAAATATTTTCAAAAAAAAAAACATAGGCAACAAAGCCATTTAGAAGGAGAAGAGGGCCTACATTTTTTTAAGTTTAATTAATGTCATAGGAAAAAGTAGTTCAAGATTGAAAAGTGGAAATTTAGGTGAGAGTGAAACAAGTGATAGAATATACCTAGTAACAGACTGAAAAATACAGTAGAGTAAATATGAGTATGGTGCAAAGTAACACAAAGTAGGTCTTCAAAACAGGCAAACCCAAAATTGAACTAGTCAACCACAACAAGGAATAAAAGTTAAAAAAAACCTTAGTGAGGAAGATATTCAAGAGGAGAAGAGGCCTAAGGTTTTTTTTTTACTAAAATGTTATTTGAAAAAGTAGTTCAAGTTTAAAAGGTGAAAATTTTGGTGAGAGTAAAACAAGTGATAAAATCTACCTACTGATAGACTGAAAAATACTGTAGAGTATAAATGACTAAGACATAGAAATAATCAGTGATTAGTATGACAGGCATAAAAAATTCTAATTCTGGTTAATCCTCTATTCTACACATTTCCCTTAACATGTTATTTCATCTTACTCATCATGTCTTGGCAATTATTGGCCCAAACCCGATCGGTTACAATGGAATTGCCGTTTCACCCGAGGGCCCACCTTTAGGCACTTTGCACCATACTACTGGAAGGGAAGCCGCATACTCGAGTAGGATCGGGCCGGATCCGGGCAGCGGCAGTGATCCCCTTTTGTAGGGGAAACCCTTTTAGATGCCATGCGCTTGGCGGCAAACCCTTTCGGATACTTGTACCATCGGCCGGGAAATATGCTATCGAAAATGTAAAACTTTTGCAACGAACAGCAAAATATTTACCCTCTCCACCTGTCCTTTTACCCCCCAAGAATGCAAATGAGTTGCGGGAGATCCTGGAAAGAAAGGAAAAATACAGAAATACTTGCAGCCTTCTGGTATTTTTAAAGAAATTTCTCCACAATCTGTTGAGATGAACTGGGTAATACTGAAGGTGTTTAGCAATTTTTACAGAGTTCTTGGCAAGGTGTGAAACACCCAAAACATACTACTTTCGAGCGAGAGCAGGACAACATAGGAAGGCTATCTGACTACTGTATAGATATTTCTAAAAATATAACAACTGGCTTTTTTCATTTTTCATTTTTTCGCTTTACGGTATCTTTCAAATTTTGTTACAGTTTTGTGATGGGCCGAAGAGGAGGTGATTGTGTGCAAAGGTTTCACTCTTTCGATGGCATATTTCCCGGTTAATGGTATCATATCCAAAAGGTTTACCCAAAATAATATTTCACACGCTCATAATTTCTATTTCGGCCCTGGGTACAAGTATCATACTTGTATTAAGTTCCTACAGTTTCGCCTGACAACGGATTTATCCTCCCTGGAAAAGGGTCGTGTCAACCCTTGACTCTCGCCCGCTACCCATCCAACACCAGTGATGTACTCGTACCGCGACGCGGATAGCACCTCCACACGCACAGCAAACTCCACAGCATCACACCTGTCATATAAGATTTCGAGCTGCGAAAGTTAGATCGGGAATCTGCAAATATTGTTGCCATGGCTACCATCGACGACGACCGCTTACCATGGTTGTCGAGGTCTTCTACCGGCTATGATCTCTTCACCAAGACCCCGGAAAATCCGACCTCTTACCCTTCACTGGTTACTGTTGAGGATGAGGAGACTACGGTTGGGCCCATGAGGGTTATGGCCAATAGAGGGACGGAGATATTTGTTGCGAGGGGGAATGAAGTTCGGTGTGCTGACCTTCAGGATTTGAAAGCGCGGTACACGCCCAAGGCTGGCACTCGGGAGGATGGGCATAGAGAGCATAAGGTTTGTGCCCGGGTGTGATGGGTTTGGGTTGGAAGGGCTGCTGACTGAGGATGGCAGGTGCTGGATATTCCGGAGTTGGATTTTGAAATTCGCCAGCTGGAAATCAGTCGGGATGGGCTTCTGTTGGCCATCATTGGTGAGAAAGAGCTTGCGGTGTGTATGCTTCCGGCGGAGGGCCTAGCGAGAGGAGATGTTTCGAAACTGAGGGTTCCTGCGTAGGCTCCCCGAGGATTGAGTCGATTTTCGGCGTTGGCTAACAGATTCTAGGTTTAACATGGTCGGCTCGAATTATCATAACTCTGAAAAAGGCTGCCGAATTGTTCGAGCGATATGGCATCCTCTCGGAGTCGAAGGTGCCTCGTTGGTGGTTTTGACTTCTGAGAGTATTGTTAGGTTTGTCCATTTCCTGCTCTATTGTATCGGAGTGCCGTGCTCACCACGGGTGTAGAACGTACGATTTCACGATTGGTCATGAGTTTACGTTCGAGATACCGGATCAAACACTCGACCTTTATACATTGAGCGGGCGCGCACGCCATGCCGGCGGTTTCTTTGCCGACGAAGAAGAGATGGAGGCGGCTTCATGTTGTTTTGGCGATGGTCTTCAAGGATGGAGACCGTTTACTCTGTACATCCTCATGAGAGGTGGAGATATCTACGCACTTACGCCCCTGGTTCCAAGCCGCTGGAAGGCTCCCCGCGAGTATCTTCAAAACCTTTCGCTCGACATTAATTGTGGTCTTGAGAACCTTGAGGACGATGTTACAATGGAGGAAAAGTTGGTCCTTCGTCAACAGACCAAGTGGATTAATCATGTCTTGAACCAGGAGGCCAATATTGGCGCTATATATACTGGATCTACCATATCTCCGCGGAAGAAGGCGTCGACATGTTTGGTCCGTCCTGGCATTGTTGGTCCTGCACCGCAGTTGCAGGGCCCTTTTTTGTTTCAGCCAGCACCACAGGAACTCTCCATTGATGAGTATGGCTGCGACATTTTCCACATTGTGTCTCATCCTGTTGGTGTTATCGGGATTTTGTTCTCAAATGGAAAGGTCGATGTTTGCTTGGAACCTGAGTCGCTGAAAGCCAAATGGGTTGACAAGAGGATTAGACATAAAGAATTGGGAGGTGAATCCGGCCAATCGACGCTGGGCCTCCCGGTCATCTCGGGATACGAGACCATCGATGTCGGGTTTTCGCCGGGAAGCAGTTCTTCAAAGATTAGCTGGCCCGTCTTCTCCCCCGACCCGCAATCCAACCAGGTATGGTATATCAACCACAATATGGGCGTCGCAGCAATCTCGATGAAGGCGTGGTTAAGCAAGCTAGCTACGGTCCTGGACGGTGATGAAGACGACGGATTTGTTGCCAGATCCATGGAGAGGAATCCACAATCTACGGTCAATAAGCCAATCCAGAACAACAACAAGCCTCAATCCCTCGCAAGGCCCATAACCGGGAGCGTAGCAGTCTACGAAGCATACCTCGGCTACATCCTCATCGCTGCTACAAAGACCAACTCCCAAAGCGTCGAATTCGACGATGTCCAAGGTCACACTTCTGGAGCCGAGTCATCCTCAGTGGCCATCATACACTCACTCACACACCCCAATCAATCCCCCCCCTCCCGACATCTGGCCCTTCGCGGCCACCAACGTCGCCCGTCCCTGCTGACACCCCACTTCACATCCCCGCCAGAGCTAACAACCCCCAGCGCCCTCCACGCCCTCCTAAAGCCCACCAACCCACAGTACAAGCAACTCCTAGCGTCCCCCATCCACTTCACTACCGAGACAAACGCCCTGCTGCGTGCCGCGCGTGATACGCTCAAGACGGAATACGACCGCATAATGGAGATTGCGCAAGAAATGTACGACAGGGCGGCAACCCAGCGCATCGAATTCCGCAAACAACTGGAAAGCATACACAAAGCCAGCGAAACCCTCACTCGCATACAGAACAAGGACGTGCGTGCGCGACTAGGCCACTTCCTGACTCGTCAGGAGGAACTACAAGCGCGCGCCGATGAAGTTCTCAAAACCCTCATCGTCAAGAACGAGCTTGGCGTTAGCGATGCGGAGAAGAAGTGGTTTCGCGAAGTCGCCAAGGTCGAGGAGAGGATTGGTGGCGGTTCGGAGAAAGGGCGGCAACAGGGGGAGGAGGGCGAACAGGAAGCGGAGGAGGAGGACTCGGGTACGCTGGCTGGAAGAAGGGAGATTGTCGCTTGCTTGGTGGGACAGCTGTGTCCACTTGTTGACGAAGACGGAACGGGTACAAGCCCTGAAAGCCATAGGGGGATGAGGATGGTTGTTTGCAGGGGTGAGGACGTGCCGGAGGAGGTTAGAATGGGCAAACTACGGATTTTAAGGGAGTTGTTGGAAAGGGAGTATGTCTTCCCCCTCCGTCTTTGGCGTCACGGGATGGGTGGATAATGATCGCTAATGAATTGCAAAGGGACGTCCTCGTCAAATCCGCCAAAAAGAAGCTGGAGAACTTGACCTTGGAGGCGGAAAGGGTTTAGTTGACACTTGTTTGGTTTGGTTTGGCCATGAAGAGCGGACCGGGTTAGATCCGGGGCCCTTTGTGTTCCCCGTTTCTGAGAATCCTTGTTACTACGCTGCCCCCTGTACTATATACACAGTGTGGAATCGCGTTTCTTTTCTCTCCTTTGCTGTTCCTCTTCATAACCTGATTCTCGAGATGCCGGGCGTTGCGTTTCATCTCCTTCCATTACATTACGGGGTTTTCAAGTTTCGGTGTGTGCTAGTACTGTACTGTAGGTAATTTATGATTTCTTATATCCATAAATAAACTCTGACTATGGGGGAGGGGGTTTCTTTCTTTCCTGTCCAAGACTATGGCACCTGTTGATATCCCGCGATCCGCCAAATTGTGGAGTCTTGCTCTGTGGGGATCTTTCCTCTGGGCAATTTGCCGTATTTCTGTCCCGGTGTGTGGAGTGATTCTCTTTGGTTAGCTGTTATTGTTCCCGTCGGTAATGTGGGGTCTTGTGATGTGGGAAAGAGTCTTTTTTTGGGGGGAGAGGTGGGGGTGCATTGCTTGTTTGAGATTTTCTCATCGCTTTACTCTCCCGGTCCGCGTGGGTATGGTACTTTGTTGTCGGGTAAGGAGGGAGCAGCCATGGCAGAGGAAAAAGGGGAGTCAAGGAAACGATTAGATTATCATACACTTTTTGTGCCTCGCGTAGTACCATACCTTCATGCTCCGCTATAACTACATGTGACACTTTTCTCTAGCTACGACCACACCCCACCCACACAAAACGAGATCACCCAAACAGAACCTCTTCGTAAACCTCCCTCCACCCTATGCCCTCAGTCGGGACCTCCACCCTCCCCTTCTCAATCGCGCCTCCACTCCTAACGACCCCCTTCCCTCCAATCTTCGCCCGAAACCATCCCGCCTCCTTCTCCCCAACCAACGACACCGCCACACCCTTTCTCCCCGCTCGCGCGGTCCTCCCAACCCGGTGCACGTACCCCCTCACGCTAGCTGGGACCTCATAATTGATGACGATGGCCACGTTCTCCAGGTCCAGTCCTCTCGCGACAAGGTCCGAGCACACGAGTATGCCTACTTCACCCTTTGTAAAGGCGCGGATGTAGCGGGCACGTTGCTTCCGGGGTGTTTCGGAGGTTATGCATTTCGTGACCCAACTGGCGGCGGGTGGTGGGGCAGCCGAGTGGGAGGAGAAGGTGGAGAGGAGGGCGGATAGACGGGTTGCTGTTGAGTTTGAGGAGGTGAAGATTAGGGCCTGTGGGGTTGGCGGTGGAAGGGTTTGGAGGTAGGTCAGTAGGTGTAGAGGTTTCAGGCTCGTGTCGGGGATTGGCAAGAGGAGTTCCTGAAGGGTGGGGGGAAGGGTGAAGGTTTCATCTGGGAGGTCTTGCTCTCCCTTGTCCACTTTGTCGGTGTCTTCCGGTATGGGGAGAGGTTCAGATTCGACGGTGATCATACTCGGCTTGTGTAGCTTTAGGTCGGAAAGCTTGCCGACGTCGCGGGTCATCGTTGCACTGAGGATGATCTTGCGAACCCCACTTCCGGGGGGCTTCCGGCGGATGCCCAAATCCTCGAGCACACTATTAAGCTTCTCATCCTGCGCGCTGACATCCACTCTCTCAATCTCGCCGATGAGCGTGGACACCCATTCCTGAAAACTCTGTGCGAGAAGTCTATCCGCTTCGTCGATGACTAACCACTTTAGAAATTTAAGCGTAAACCCCTTCGTAGTCTTGATATGCTCAACCAGTCTCCCGGGCGTGCACACCAACACATCAATCTTACTCCCACTGCTACCATCCTCGTCGACCAACTGTGCTTGCTCGAGCGACAGCGCTTTCGAACCCACCGCCGTGCCAATTTTCAACCCTGTGCCCGTAGATAGCGAACGTGCGACGGAGTGTACCTGTGAGACGAGTTCCCTCGTCGGTACTACGATCACCGCGCGCAGACGGGTGACCACACGAGTCGAGAGTGTCTGCACAATGGGGAGGACGTAAGCTAATGTCTTTCCAGACCCTGTCGCGGCGGAAATGCATATATCCCCGGAATCGCGGGATAGGAGCAGGGGGATGACAGTGGATTGAACGGCGAACGCACTTGTCAGTGAGAGCGCTGAGAGACGGGAGTGGAGCCTATGCGATATACAAGTTATATCCGAGAATGGCTCAGTCTTGGAGGGGTCGACGGTGATCGGGTTGGCCAACCATGGGGGGAGCGCGGATGATCGGGGGACATGCAGTTTTGTGGCCTTTGTGAGCGGGGGTTGGGGGATGGGTTCAAGGCCCACTGGGGCAGGGAGTTGCTCCTTCTCTTCATCGTTGACTTTGACTTCCGCGTCTTTGGCGGTTGCGTCGGCGGGGGCGGTGGTGGAAGTTGAAGCTAAGCAGACCTTCTCCTTGACCCTGCGAAGTTTTTCGAGAAGTGCTAGGTGCTTCGGCGGTGGCGTTGGCTCTGATACTTCTGCGGAGTCTGGACCGACTTCGGGCTCTTGTCTCTTCTTCTTTTCCTTCCTCTTTCGCCGAGGGGGCTCTTCGATGGGCGGTGTAGGATGTTTAGTGTCCCTTTCCTCCTCGTCCTCAATTTGCACATTGGCACGGGCGTCGTTTTCGGCCACTGCTCCTGCCTCGACTGCCTCCTCGACCTTAGCACTAGATTTCCTGCGCCCCTTCTCACTTTTCTCCTTTCGCTTCCTCTCCTTCCT